CTTTTCTATCATGTAATTCCTTTCCCTCCTGATATTAACTACTTTTCTAAGTTGTCTCTTGCCAGAAGTTTTGTCTTTTGAATGCATCAATTTCTTATAAAATTATATACTCTGTACTTAGAGGTTTGCTTGTACAATAGAAGACAAAATAAAGTTCACATTTTGGCACTGTAGAACAATGGTGCAACAAAACCGTTCGTATCATCTTTGTTTCTGTACAGTTTTTACGAAGCTCCAATAAAGGCTAGCAAATTTAGGGTGTGGTTATGTGCAAGAGTGGGTGCAGTTTGTGAAAAATCATTTTACTTTGTGTTGGTTTGCTCTCGGTTCTATTTCAGTCAGTTTGCTCATTTATTAGTTGCTGCTGTATGGTAGAACCCCCCCCCTGTCATCTTCTTGTAAGAATGTTATAACACTGTATTTTTGCTGTAGCTTTGCAATTTGTACCTGTATAAGAAATAAAGAAGAAAATTTATAGTGTGTGTTTGTTGTTGTTTATACAAATAAATAGTTATGCTTTGACTACAAATCAGTTAATGCTGCCAATCTGTGATGCTCTTCAGTATTCCTTTCCACTGGTTTTACTCAGCTTTAGAGCCATATCATTGGAGGGAGATTTCTTGCTAAACCTGTGGCAAAACAAAACAGCTAATGTTTATACAAGATAACTTACATTTGCATATGGTTTTGTGTAGCTCAAATAGAAGAAATATGGCTCGATCAAATGCTCAATGACCCACTAAAGCAGCACTAAAGTCTTCTGAATCAGTCAAACACGCCACATCCACGTTTCATTTACTGTATACCGTTCTCTTTCCGTATAAACGGCAATGAAACAGAAATCTTTTGTTTTTTTAATTGTTTAAATGGTACTTTATTGCAACACATGGTATTGTAAAATTTGTTGTTTCATATTCGTTCCATTTTCATAGAATGTGAACTTTATTTTGTCTTTTACTGTACCTCATTTCAATTAATATGAGACAATAAACAATTTTATTACAACCATTGACTTTTTGCTAGTGTTCATGTAGTTCCAAGTAGTGTCATTTTGTTTTTTGGGGTAAGTACATGTACCAATTGTTTTTTGTTAATGCAACTAATTAATATTGTGTTATTGTTCAGGTTCCTCGTAGTCATGCTTATCAGAATGCCCAAGGTCGTAAGTGGCACGGTCACAATCAGCATTTTGGAGATATTCGTCCGGTATGTATTAAGTATTACCAAAAGTACACTAATTGCACTATAGTAGCTGAAACATTACTGTGTAGAAGTAAATCACGTGAGATCAGATGCCTGGGTGTACGTACTAAGTTGAGCATGAAGAACAGTGCAGCACACTTGAAGAAGCTTTACACATCATACTAGGAAACTTATAATGCTGCTGAAGTTTTATATGCAGTACTGCTATAGCAGAGATACCAAAATGGCCAGTAAACATTGTCGAACAAACTTGGCAGCCAGCCTCACCCAGTATGTGGGAATGCCCAAAGATGCACAAGATAAGACTATGCGGTGATGTTTCAGCTATTATAGTACGGTTAGACTTATGCACTCTCCGTGTTACTACCTTAAATATGTGAAATTGGATTTGTAAATGTGGGTACTAAAAATTGGCACCCAAATGTTGAGGATGTATGGGACAACAATGATAGCTTCACTTACATGTACAGGTACCCGAGCCTACATTTTCTTTCGTTAAATTGTTGTACATGTATGACACTTCAGTCAGTTACATTGTATTAACTTTTGTTTCTCCATTGTACATGTAGCTTGTTTTGTTTGGAGCAGTGCTCATTTTGTCTTATTTTAAAAATTGTTAACTTGTGTTGACATTATTATTTTGTGTCTTTATTGTAGAAAAGAAAGTTTTCACAGCCAAAAGACAGTAAGTAAATCTTCATTGTGTGTGCATGTGCATGATTAAGTGATGCCTATTTAAGTCACAAAAGAGAATACGTTTTGCACCTTATATATGATCTGAAGTTTCATATTATAATGTTTCTTATTATAAGTACTTTATTACATTTAAATAATTAGGGACATGACACACTAATTTGTATATGAATACACATTCAGTGCTTGTCTTTAATGACATATTTTTTTTATGCTATTGTTTTCACAGAATCATGTTTCTGTAATATTTCGACACTTGATGATCTCAAACTATACTATAATGATGCGTGTACAACATTTAATTGTCCAGTTGTAGAGGATGAAATGACAATGCACATGGAATTTAATTCACCTAAAGCTTTCAATGATGCCAAGACACTATGGAATGCTATTAGCTTAGATGTTGGCAATCGAGATGCCCCAAGTAAATATATTTTCATTTTGTCTTAATCATTTTGTGTTTGCAGGTAACATGACAGATGAAATATGGGATTTACCTCCATTGTTTAAATCACTATTTTTTGAAACTGCGAAGTGCTGTAGTTTAGCATCCCGGCTACGAAACAGTGGAGGCAAAAACTTCTTATTAATGTTGCTCCATACAATGGTTCTTGGTTATAAACAGAAATGGAGAAGTTGTATCAGTACGACAACCAATCCTGTTACAGACTGGTGTGGATTTCCAAGAAAGGACGGTGAAGCAAGAGGTTAGTGCAAATTGTATGTACATGTGTTTCCAGAAATTATACGGTTACTGTTTTGACAATTCAAGGCCCATTCATTGTAGCAGTTTCAGTATTTTGCAATGTATTCTTGAGGTACATTGTATTTTTTGCGGTCTTAGTATAACTGCCTGACCTTACTTTGATGTGCTTAAACTCCCATTGTCTAAAAAATTTATTCACTGAGAAATGAGCTTTCAAAATGCCCAATTTGCTTTCTGCCATTTTATTTTCTGTATGCCAGTGTGTGAGGCTAAGTTGACATTAATATAGGCATAGCTGAGCAAAATCCATTCATTTATAGTGGAGGAATAATTCTTATTCTCATGCCTAGTAATGTGATAGCACTAATTTAAAGTTTGGGATCATTAGCTTTCATGATATTAGGCATGAAGCTACATGCTATTTGGTAATCCAATGCTAATAATGAAAGCTAATGGTACCAATCTTCTTTTGCAAGAGACTAAAAAAATGTATCCTATAAAGGAATGGACGACATAAGTACATGCATATCGTCTAGTGCAAAAGTTTGAGGATTGTAAATTTTACTGATTTTGCAATTCTTTAAAAGATTTGCAAAAAGTACATGTAGTTCCACAACAACGAAATTTTTACGGTACAAGATGGCCAAAAATACCACAAAATAGATTTTTAAGCACTTTTTTGGTGCCCTCCAAAGTTTTGTGCTTAACAGTATGTAATTATTACAATTGAGAATGGAATCTTTTTTATTCTTGACAGGGACTTTGGCCCGGTTTTTGAGTAGCTTAATTTTTTTAAAACTAAACTTGATCTGAATTAGTTCAAGCTTTCTACACAACATTAGTACACATGTACATGTATCAGAAAAAATATGAAATCGAAAATTCTATCCTTATTAATATTGACAAAATTTTGCCAAAATTCCTTGCTTTAGTACAGTGACTTTAACCTGATTTTGAGCAACTTAATAAATTTGTGGTAGGGCTGTACGATATTGCAATATTTAGTAATACCTCGATATTCAAATCATGACGATTCGGTATTAAGCACATTACTGATATAGATTATTCCGTAATATGGAATGTACGTGATATTTTTTTCAATTTGTGCATGCACAAGTAATCAATAATGCAATATTCAATATAATGACAAATTGGTTTGGTCTTCTCTCTTTCTTTTATCACTGACTTATCTATTTGAGTAGGAAGTAAGCCTTTGGGATCCATTTCAATACTTTTAAAATACTCTAAGATAGACATATCAGCTGCTCCACGTTGTTTTGTTCCAATTTATATATGTGACTGGGTTTGACTTCGCAGAATCTCACTTTGGTGGGATAACATGAGAAGAGGAGCTATTATAGATGAATAAGAAAGGAAAACTTCCAAATGAACTTTGTTCATTTATTGACTGACAGACAACTGTTATGGGACCACCAAAACTGAATTTGCAACCAAACATGTTTTCCTGCGTCAATATTTTTTTGCACTGCAAATTCATGAAACTCCTATTTAATAAAGAAAATGCAAAAATTTTTAAAAAAAGATCGAGTAGGATTTAATTCATCGAAGAAGTAATTGAAACAATGACAAGTAGGATTCTGAAGGACCAACTATATTGAATGACTGGCTACCCATACCAATGAAAATACAAAACGAAAATCCTACTCTCGTGATGCAAATTCTACTCTACATTTTACTTTCAAAATTGTTATGTAAGAAATTACAGATCGCCTTCCAATGTAGAATAGAATTTGCATCACGAGAGTAGGATTTTCATTTCATATTTTTGTTGGTATAGGTAGCCAGTCATTCGAAATTATCGGTCCTTCAGAATCCTACTTGTCATTGTTTCAATTACTTTTTTGACGAATTAGCACGAAAAGAATCCTACTCAATCTTTTTTTTCAAAATTTTTGTATTTTCTTGTTCATGCTAATATTTTAAAATATTTTTATTTGAGATTTTTATTTCACTAAATATAGCAAAATCCCTCCCAAGGCCAGTATTACATGTGTATCAATAACTTTTTTACTGAAAATGATGAATTAATATAAAATTCAATTATATACATGTACATAACTACAAATCTTTATCTTGGTATTTTAAAAGTAATAATAAACTGACTTATTGGGTGATGACAGAGTTAAAGATTACACTAACACCTATTTAATTTGAGAAAGAAGTTTCAAAATGGGTCTGCGGTGTGGAGGACTCCAATAGTCTTCTGCATTGACTCCAGTAGATGCACTGTGGATCCTATTATGATACTTCGCAAGGACTGGGAAGGTAACTCAAAGGAACCCTTTAAAACTCCAGGACATACCATGGTAGGAAGGAGTATGAGGTCCATCGTTGATAATGAAGCATCTGACTCTAAGGGAATTGAAAATTAACAAAGGAAGATGGATATAACTCACACTGACATTAAGGTGAAAGGCTTCAAAAGAATCAGCATTGGGCCAATATTCATTGTAATTGGCAACATTTGTAACAGCTTTATCAGAATCATTCTTAGCAAAGTCCAGACACAAGTTTCAGTTTTGTTTGAAACTATCTTTATAGCCCAGAGCTTGAGCCTACTGATTCAGTATGATCAGTTTCTTGGTGGTCCTGTCACCATCACAATAATTATAATACGATTAGGATAAGTAGACAGAGTATACGGTTTAAGTGGATAACTTCTAAAGTCTAGGCTATTGAACTGCTGCAATATAACCAACTATTGTCAGCATTTTGATATGCTACTGTGTGATCTGTCACAAATACATTGTTCCTATAGTACTTTATGGCTAGTAGTAAGGAAACAGTAGAAGAGTTAGTGCATCTAGAGTTAACTTGTATCTTTTCTCAATCAAATAGATGTTGCTACATGCAGTGATAAAACACAGTCATTTATACTAAATATTTTACCTTGCTTTAATGGTTGTTTGTTTCAACTGTTGTGCCACCATTTTTCAGAATGTTACGTGTTAATGTGAGAAAGACAGCAATGAAACACCAAGTGATGAAGTGTGTATATGAAACCTGTAATGTATTTACTCCATGACTTTTATAATATTTGAACATAGATACTTATCATTTTCAGTGTGTCATGCAGCTTCACACGACTTTCATGTGGTTTACATGATTTTATGTATCCACTGCAATCTTCGCCGACCTATAATACAGGGAGATAGTTATAATGCTCTACATAACATACATGTATATCAACATATGAAATCCAAGCAAGAGTAAGATCCAAACAACAGCAATTTGATTTTTTCATTTATGTAGCAATAAATGTCTACCTATAGCAAAAACATAAAGTAACAGTAATAAAATAACTGACAAGGAATTAACAGGAGCATGATTAAACAGAGCTTACCTTTATGCATTTTATCATGTATAGGTGGGATGACTGTAGAAGTATAGACCTGACTGAAATATTTGATACTGTTACAGTATATCTTTTCATAAAAGACGTTTTGTCTGATAAATGGAACTAACATCACTAAGAAAGAAAATAAAATTCAAATTGACTATCAAATACAAATGCATACAATGTATGTACATATAATAAAATAAGAGATATAACCTTAACAATCCACCTTAGATTCCAAAAATTTGCTTCGAAATCACCCCAATTTTATTACATTTTCTGATATATATTGATGTACTTATGCTATGTAGAAAGTTTGATAATCCATCACAAAAACAGTTCATTGATTTGGTTTTAAAATTTATTGATTAAAATACCTACAGTGTAAGGAGAATAGATGAAAATTAACTAAAATTTTTGTACCTTCTGTCGAATTAAAATGTTACTATACTTATCTTTATTGTATGTCTTATTACATGTACAATCAAATGATCTACAAGAACTTAAGGAAATGAAATAATTACACAATATTTGGGGATACACCTGACCTTTCTCTTACTAAAATGACAATTCAACTTGCTGATTTTTTAATGTCATCATTATACTCAACTTCATCAACACACGCGAATTCTCAAGTCAACCCTGCAGTCTTTGCTAATTAAGAAGGAGAACACTTTTTCTGTGCTACTATGAGTGGCACGTGTATCCCTTCTTTGAATGTATAATCATGTGCTGATGACTGGCAAATATTTGATTTAATCCATTAGATCTGTTACTACCTCAAAATGATTAGGTGGATTATAGAGGTAGAGAGCTGGTGCATCACTTAAATCCTGCACATGCTGGCCAGCCATTGTAAGTGGACCAGTCCAGCTGTTATTAATCCAATCCACAGGTTGACATCGACACTGTTAATGCCACACCTGCACTCATCCTTGAGGTTAAAGATAGATGTCTTCAGTAAATGTGCCAAAGCATATACCTCAAAATCTGAAGCCCAACTTCTATCTCTAGCCATTCTAGACCTCTCAATGTAGAAGTTAATTGTTTCTAGAGTATCAGGAGCATCTACATCATACTGTGTGCTTTCAAAGCAATAGACAAACAAATGAGAATTTGCTCTTACATATTCCACCATTATGGAACGAATTTCTTTATATTGCTGTTGATTTCCAGTTATGACATGGGAAATCGACCTGATGAAACAATTTCCATCACCTCTGATAGGAATACATGTCTGAATGTTAGGACACCTGAGCTGTACATTAGGTCCTCTGTGTCTTACACCATTGTGAGCATAAAAGTGTAAACCCAATTTCTGACACGTTTCTCTTTGCCTGTCAATTCCAACTGGATTGTATACCCAATTGGACCAAGTTTTGGTAGGGTCAAAACGAATAGTGGTTGATGGCCGAGGTGTAGATTTAGCTTCATCAACAAAGCAATCTGCACTCTAGCCATTATTGTTACCATTATTGTTATTGTGACCACTATTGTTAACAGCAGGGGGTTTCTTGGGACAACTATCATCCTTAGGCCTACTTCTCTTATCATGAACTACATTTGGGGGTTGAATGGTTTTTTGATTCTTAGCTTGTGGTTCATCTTTAATTCCAGTAAGCTTACGCTTTCTACTGCCAGGAATGTCATATTGTGGGAGGTCTGATCTGTACAAGTGTCTTAACCTGTTTATCTCTCGTATGCTCTTTGAACAAACCATTAATGATTTGGGGTTGAAACATGTCAAATGGACACCAGACAGCGTTCTTACCCGTGATAGAGCAAGGTAAGCCATTCCTTCTTTAAATACATTGTTGGACAAGTCAATGATTGCGTTATCTAGCGACAGTCCCTGACATTTGTGTATGGTAACTGTAAAAACTAGTATTAAAGGAAACTGGCTTCTATACACAAAGACATTTTTCATTACCATAAACTTTCTCTTGACTTGTTCAATCTCACAAGGATTAGATATTCTGTCAAATTTATCTGTTGTGCATGTTGCTAAAATAGCCTGCACTATACCAAGTACTCCATTTACTAATCCCTCTTCAACACTTACATTACAACATAACATTACTTTAGCCCCCACTGCCAATTTTAAATTGGCTTCCAGTATTGTTAATATCCTTGTTTAATTTTTCCAACTTTTTCTCGACTTTTTGTTCTAAATGGCCACACTTTCTATGTATAGTAACAGTTGCATCAATTAAAGTTGTGGCTTCTATGTCCTTAGTTGGACTTGGTAGATCATCTAGCATTTCCTCATTAAATTCTCTGCACATATCTACTTTAGGAAACTGGCAAACAGGAGCATTACCAGCCTCTTGTAATATTTTTAATTTTTTTGAAATGGACATTGAAAATACTCTTTTGGAAAGTGTAGCAAGAGTCTGATCGTCTGGAAAGCCACGTCTCACTTTGTCCAATATTTCTGAAAATTTCTGGTCAGTTTTTTGTCTTTCGTTTATAGTCAATTCGTCGTAAGTGACAGCATCACGCCATATGTTTACTGCACCCATACTACCAAGCCTGTATTTCAATGTTTTTGCTGTTACTTGTTCAAACACTGGTTCACCATGAACTGGTGGCAATTGAAGAATGTCACCAACAAAAAGGACACTCTTACCACCAAACCATTCGTCCGATTCAAATCGATCATTCATTCTCATGTGTATATAAGTCAAATTGAGGCTAGAAACCATGGACACTTCATCAATGATTACCATTTTCAAACCTTGAAGCTCAGTTTTCATTACTTTATGACTAGTTTTGGGGAGTGACCCGTATGAGATACATTGTCCTTCATGTTCTATTGGCAGTTGAAACAGTCTATGTGCTGTTACATCTCCCATATTGTAAGCTGCTAATTCTGTTGGAGCAGCTACTGCACAAGTCCGTTTGGTCAGTGTTGACCAATAGCTTTTTACTAATGCTTTAATTGCCTCAATAAGAAAAGATTTACCGGTACCACCTACACCACTGATGAACATGTATAAAGGCTTTACACATTCTGATTGCTCTTTCTCTTGTTTTGATTTCTTTTTGTATTCAATTTGCTTCAAGAGATGAGCTTTTACGTAATCAAAGATGCGTTTTTTATCTTTATTTAGCATCGATTTTTCTCTTGTAGAGTCAGATGAGACCCAGTGTCCATATTTCTCACATCATTCATTGCATCTTTAATCTGTCCCATCAACTGTGGATTATTGTCTTCCACATTACACTCTCTGTTGGCTGCTCTGGCATCTTGTATGTCTTTTAAAGTCTCTCTGCATTTGAGCAACTTTCTGAGTTTTTCATTGGCCTCAAGACACCTTTCATTGTCAACAATGTGGCAATCAAATGCTTCTTGGATAGTTTTGAAATCATGAACTAATTCATCCTCATTTCTAAATGGCACGAAAAGGAGAATGATGGCATAATAGAAACTGTCTCTCTGATTTTCTTTATGAACATCAAAATCCTTAAAAGTAGGAAGGCTCTCCTTCTGTAGTTCTCTATAGCATTGCTGGCCATTTTTATCTTTGCCATTGTAAGTGGGTTTGGCTACAAAATCATAAAGGCAAAATTCTTCATATTTTTGGGGTCTGTTTGGATAAAAGTGAGTGACGAGGCCCTCCCCATAAAAGTCTTCCATTGATGGCTCATTTACTGCTGTTTCTTTAACTTCATTTAATTTCATCGTTATATTTCTTGATCTCTTATTTGGCATGTCTACATCAATCCATTTTATATCTCTCGATTTTCTACAAAGAGGCTCACCAAGTAATATATCACAAGTTTCATATAATCCAATGGATCGGCTATCAAGACATCTTATGCCAATTCTAAAAAATTTACTGTATAGGCCTTTCCTGCCATAGATCCTGCATGTGACCCCTTTCAGCCTTTCTCACGTAGCCACTCGCATAATTGGCCAGAGCTAGAGAACACTCGCTGGTAAACGATACATCAATATTAGCCTTCCATAATAATAGAAGCAGAGGATTGTAATCACTTACTCTTGCTTCTTCCTCGCTACATTTAAGGTGATATGTCCTTTCTCTGCTTTAATGCTCTGCTCGACATTGTTTAGCACAGTGTTTTTAGTTACTGGGCGAGGAAATCCAAATTTGCATTTTGTAACAAATACATTCTTACTACACTTTCTCTTTTTCTTACAGTAATTGCTGCACTTGTGTAACTGTTACCTTGTTACAACTTCGTGTAACTCTGGACAAGTGTCTTTATTTGGTATGTTACAAGTTATTCTTTCGTCTATAAATCTAGTAACATCTTCGGCTCTACTCTCACCAACAACTGGACCATTGGCTGTCCAGATTAAACAATGATAGTGAGGAGCTCCTCTGGCGTGGTATTCTTTTTTATGTTAATACTCTGTAACCTGGCCCAAAACCTGTCCCTTGATTAAAACTTTATTAAACATCTCATTAAACTTTAGAGAAAACTGTCTCAATACAGATACTGGATATTCAGTACATAGTTTGCCAGTATTATATGACGGTAAGACTGTGTTTACTTTGTGCAAGTATTCTGTTATGTCTTCAGAGGAGTATTCTGCACAGCTAAAAGTGAGAAAGAAAGTG